CATGAGGATTATCATTACATATAATGCAAAGCTCATAAGAAAACAACACATCATAGGAGATGTCTCAAGGTATTTCATATACATGCATGAGAAGGCAATACACCGTAGAGATGTGTCAAGAAGCCCTCACATAATAAAGGAGGTGAAACATATGAATGTCACATAATACTATGTGCAAGAAGCTATTATGTCACATAATACTATGTCACATATTAATGGTTTTACCTTACCTTTCCACGTCAAAAGCGAAACCAAAAACGATGGGAAAAAAGAAAGTGGTCCTCATGCACCAAACTGAGGATAGGGTCCATTGAAGGTGTTAACAAAAAAGGTTGTTTTGAAAAACCTTTAAATAATTAAAGCTAACAAATCCTCCGCCTATGTCAAAACAACTAGTCTCTCTAAAACAAATTAGGAAATAAAATGCATAAGTGAGGGTGGGCTACAGACTTGAACCTTCACATATTGTTATGCAGAACACTTATCAAAATAGGGAGTGGACAAACCTTGAACTATGTCTATTATAGATAAGCCTCCCACATACTACATACTCTCTTTCAAATGCAATGGTTTTCTTTAAAAGATTACGCATTTTACTAGCCCAACGCCAGTCCTGGTTTTCATGAGTGCTCTAAAGAATGCCCAGTTCTCCTAGGAAGTAGCCCCCACTTCCACACTCATATAGGTAAGTCCGTGGAGGATATCCTACAGTACAGCCCACGTTTCACACCATTTTGACAAATGGACTCATTAAGATCTAACTTCAATCTCTCAATTCATTATAGTAAATTGTACCACACAGCAAAGGATGGGGGATAAATTTGATATAAATTTCTCTTCAATAATATTGTGATACATACATACATCAATCACACAAGTGACTTATTCTTCTTTATGAACATCAAACTTGGGATCTCCTTGTCCATAAGTAGGGTTCCCATAACCTAGTGGTATATTACATATGGGCTTCAAACCCATCCCTCTAGTCATATTCCAGACTTGGTCCCTTGCAAGCCTTTTAATTGGTGGATCCACTACCATTGGTGGATCCACTAAGTTCTACTTAGAATACACATAGAGTATTGAAATCACCATATCTTCGAGCGATACTCTCAATTGACTATGCCTCAAGCAAATATATCTGGACTTTTCAGAATATATCTTCTTGTTCCACAATAAATTGAACTTGCGGGCATGGGCCCTTGAATAATTGGTACGTCTACGAATAAATTTCTTAGTCACTCAACCTCTTTACTAGCGACTTCCAGATCCAGGGCTATTAACTACGACTCCATTGTGGATTTGGAGATATAGGTTTGCTTCTTAGAGCCCCAAGCAACAACACCCCCACATTACATGAATATCCATCCACTGGATATGGATTCATCAAAATCCATAATCCAGTTTGTATCACTATAACCTTTCAGCACAGCTGGATCACCCATGTAGTGTAGGCCAAAGTCCATAGTTCCTTTAAGATATATCAAATCCTATAGACCGCATTCCAATGCTCTTGACCTGGGTTAGTAGTTTATCTACTCAGTCTGCCCACAACAAATACTATATGAGATCTAGTACATGACATTGCACACATTAGACATCCAATGACTCTAACACAGTCCAATTGGGAAATAAGACCACCTCGATTCTTTATGAGTTTAATATGAGCAACAAAATAAGTGGAAGCTGGTTTACAATCAAAGTGATCAAATCTTTTGAGCACTTTCTCAATATAGTGGCTCCAGATTAAAACATATCCACTCAGTTTCCTCACTATTTTAATCTCAAGAATAACACCAGCTTGACCCATACCTTTCATATCAAATTCAAAAGACAAGTTTCTTGGCATCCATAATACATGTAGTATTGTTGTCTAGTATGAGCATATCATTTACATACAAGCTGATAATCACAACCGCACCATCACAAAACTCTCACATATATACACGCATCTGCATCACCGATCTAAATCTGTGTGATACGATAAATGCGTTGAATTTTTCATGCCATTTTTTGGGTGCATGTTTCAAACCATACAGGGACCTCACAAATTGTAAACTGCGTTCCCAGCCCTCAAGGACAAATCCCACTGGTTGCTCAATATGAAATTCTTCATCTAGTTCACCATGGAGAAAAACAATTTTAAGATCTATCTAGTGAATCTCTAGATGGTAAATCGATGCTAAGGCAATGAGTACTAGAATGGTAGCTATTCGAGCAAGTGAGGCGCATGTAACAAAGAAATAAACACCTTCTTTTACTTAAAACTTTCTACAACCAGTCTTTCTTTATATTTCTCAATAGTGCCATCTGCCTCCATTTTCTTCTTGAAAATCCATTTACATCCTTAAGGTTTGGTACAAGGAGGTAAATCCACTAGCATCCAAGTGTCATTTTCTGATATAGATATTATCTCATCGTTGACTA